ATTATTAAGTTGGAAAGAGTGCAGAAAACATTTACAAGGATGTTAGTGCGACTGGGGGTTCGAGTTATAAGGAGAGGCTGGGTAGGGTGGGACCTTTTTCCTTGAGCGTCAGAGGTTGAGGGGTGTCCTTTGTAAAATCATGAGGGCGTAGGTAAGGTGAATAAGAAAGGTCTTTTCCCCAGGGTAGGGAAGTACAAAACCAGAGGGCATATTTTTAAAGTGAGAGGAGTAAAATTTAAAGGGAACTGAGGGGCAACTTTTTCACATAGAGAGTGGTTTATATGTGGAGTGAACTGCCAGAGGAAGTGGTGGATGCAGGTATAGTTACAATATTTAAAAGGCATTTGGACAGGTACATGAATAGGAAAAGTTTAGAGGGATATGGGCCAAACACAGGAAAGTGGGACTAATTTAGTTTGGGATACTTGGTTGGCATGGACGAGTTGGACTGAAGAGTCTGCTTCCATGCTGTATGACTCTATGACGTATTTAGCAAAAGACAGTCAGATGCCTCAATTTTAAGAAATAATGCCAAATTAACTGTTGATATGCCCACAGATTTCGAAATGCAGTGGAGTTTGACTTGATCATTGTGCATTGCTTTGAAAGTGATCACAAGGTATCAACCTACCGGGTAACATCTTTGTCTGAAAAGTATCACCAGTTGAAGACTGACATGATGAGGAGGAGCTTGGTACAGGTTGACCAGAAAAGCAAAGAGAACCTTTTTAAGGAAAGCAAAGCAACAGGTAATTTCTTTTCCAGGAATGTTCAGTGACCCTATCCTACTTAAGTTGAAACAGTGTCCTTAATGAATTATATCATACTCCACAGCATTTGCTAACTAGTTTTAATTGAAACACTTGATGTGTTTAGATACATGTTATTCAAACCTGCTTCTGGTTTTTCTTTTCATTTTCATACATGCTCAATCCTTTGGTTCCTGCTTCTTTGTTTTCCCTTGCCTCTTCTTTCAACTCCCTTTCCCATCAGGACTAAATCATGTTAGTCTGACCCTTGCCTAAGCGAAGCTAATCTATCATTTACAGAACATTTCTGTTCCACACCTGGTTCCAGTATCAATGTGCTGTTTTTGAAGACTTCTAACTTTGCAGTTAATGTGGCACTGATCAGCTTTGGTTAGTATGGATTCTTTTCTGGAGCAACCGTTTTGTTAGGAAACAAAGGTTGCCACTTTTTCCAATTCTCCATCTTGATGGGCCCAGATTACTATTGAAGGCCTTGTGAACTGCTGTTAATGATATCCTGTGTTTTCAGTTGTAAATTTTGTGCGAGAGAATGGGTACAACAACGTATTGTCTGATTAATCACTGCTGTCTTTTCTTTAGGCATTGATAAAGAAGAGACTGCAGAACAGGACCTGCATGTCCATCTGTTGAAAGGTACACAACATCCACAAGTAAAGATGACTGCTGGACTGCGGCAAGTTGAAAGACTGATAAACAATTCAGAGAAAGCAAAAATGAAAATTGACCAGAGGAAAAACGAATGGAAACAACTGTGAGAGTCTTTTCCTTTGTTTATTTAAACTATTTAAATATTTTTGCTTTTCAGTGAGGGTATTAAAGAGAACAAGACTGTAAAATATATACCCTTTTCCTGTATTCCATGTGACTCCTTGATTTCCTTCGCTCCAACATTGGTGGTCATGTCTTCAACCATGTGTGTCCTAAACTCTGGAACTCCCTCCCTAAACCTTTCCATCTCTCAACCTCCCTTTCCTTCTTTGAGATGCTCCTTAATGGGGCAGGTGGTAGTGTGGTGGTAATAATCCAGTCACTCAGTCTAATGCTCTGGGCACGTGAGATCAAATCCCAGTATAGCAGCTGGTGGACTATGAGTTCAGTAAATAAATCATCTGGAACATAACTAGTCTCAGTAATGGTGACCAGGATGTACACAGTTAATGGCAGGGCTCTGTGTTGTTGAACAGAATGACCTAGCAGTGCAGGTTCATAGCTCCTTGAAAGTGGCATTTCAAGCAGACAGGATGGTGAAGAAGGCATTTGGCAGGCTTGTCTTAATTGATAAGTGCATTGAGTATAGGAGTTGGTATGCCATCTTGCAGCTGTACAAGACATTGGTGAGGCCACTTTTAAAATACTGCATACAATTCTGTTTGCCCTGCTACAAAAAGGATCTTGTTAAACTAGAATGTTGCTGGGACTGGAGGGTTTGAGTTATAGGGAGAGGCTGAATAAGTTGGGACTTCTTTCCCTGGAGTGTTGGAGCCTGAGCTTATAAAATTATGAGAGGCATAGATAAGGCATATAGCGAAGCTCTTTTTCCAAGGATCGGAGAGTCCAAAACTAGAGGGCAAAGGTTTAAGGTGAAAGGGAAAGATTTAAAAGGGACCTGAGGGGCAACATTTTCACACAGAGGGTGGTGGATATATGAACAAGCTGCCAAAGGAAGTGGCAGAGGTGCATACAATAACCACATTTAAAAAACATTTGGACAGGTACATGGATAGGAATAGTTGAGAGGGATATGGGCCAATTGCAGTCAAATGGCATTAGTTCAGTTTAGGAAACCTGGACAAGTTGGGCCTGTTTCCATGCTGTATGAACCTGTGACTCTATCTATCGTAAAATCCCACCATTTCATCCTTTAGAGAAGAAAATCTCCCATCTTTACTAGTCTGGCTTACAAGAGATGCCAGACCTACAGCATTGAGGTTGGCTTTAACTATCCTTTAAAATGGCCTAGCAAGTTACTAAGTTTAAGGCAGTTATGGATGGGCAACAGCATTGACAGCAACATAAAGATTCCATGAAAGAATTTAAAAAAAAACCTAAATCTTTACCAAACTCTTGATCGTCTGTTCTATTATTTTGTTTTGTGTTTCATGTCAGCTTCTATTTGCTAATTGCTTTCCATTTTGGAAAGCTGTGAGGGCGATGGTTCCCTCAGGAGAGAGGCAGCCAGAACCAAATCTATGGCACCATGGACAATTCAACTGTACAGGGAAAGAGGAACGGTAATGGAAGAGCATAGTTATAGGGAATTCCATAGTCTGGGGATCAGGCAGGAGTTTAGGTGGCAGTAAATGTGATGCCAGGTGGTTGTGTTTCCTCCTGAGTGTCAGGGCCAAGAATGTTGTGGAACTGCTGCAAGAAATCCTTCTGGGGGAGGGAGATCAGCCGGAAGTCACAGCCTACATTGGTACTAATGACATTGATAGGAATAAGGTTAAGGTCTGGAAAACAAATTTCAGGGAGATTGGAACAAGATTAAAAAACACAGAGGCCCTACAGTGCAGAAAGAGGCCATTGGTCTATTGAGTCTGCACCGACTCTCCGAAGACCATCCTACCCAGACTCAGCCCCCATCCTATCTCTGTAACCCTGAATTTACCATGGCTGGCCTGCACATTCCTGGACATTACAGGCAATTTAGCATGGCCAGTCCACCTAATCTGCACATTTTTGGACTGTGGAAAGAAATAGAAGCACCTGGTAGAAACCCATGCAGACACAGAGAACATGCAAACTCCACACAGATAGTAACCCAAGGCTGGAATCGAACCTGGGTCCTGTGCTAACCACTGAGCTGCCAACGATGTCAAGAACAGTCATCCCAGGGTTACTTGCAGTGCCATATGCTAACGATCATAAGAATGATTGATTGAAGACATGCTGGGGAACTGGTGCAGGAAGGAGAGCATCCGATTTCTGAGGAATTGGTATCAGAGTAGGTGGGACTCAACAAACAGCACAGTTTATACCTTAACAGAACTGGGACTGATAGCCTGTCTTGCCAATACTGTTGGGGTGGATTTAAACTAGTTTGTCAGGGGATAGGAAACTGTAAGGGTAACCCAAATTGGAAGGAAATAGGTTGGTAACAGGAAATTGAAAAGATGCTGGGGAAGCTGGAAAAAGAGGAGAAACTAAGCGGAGCATTGAGTACGCTTCTAAAGTGGAATGATTTTAAAGGGCACTCAATATGATTGCTGCAACATTCACAACAAGGACTGACAATCTAAAGGCACAAGTAGATATAAATAGGCATGATCTAATTGCTGTTACAGAAACATGGCTGCATGGTGATCAAGAATAGAAACTGAATATTCAAGAATATTTGACATTTAAGAGTAATAGGCAAGGAGGTGGAGCTGCACTGATAATGAGGGATGGAATCAGTACATTAGTGAGGGAGGATCTCAGATCATAAGAACAGAATGTGTGGAATCTGTTTGGGTGACACTAAGAAAACCAGCAATGGGCAGCAGACGTTAGCTGGAGTTATTTATAAGCCACTAAATAGTGATGGTAGTGTGAGGCATGGTATTAATTAGAAGATGAGAGGAGCATGTAGCATGGACAACACAGTAATCATGGGTGACTTAAATCTGTATGTAGACTGGGTAAACCAACTAAGGCCTAAAGCTGTGGTGGACGAGTTTCTGGAGTATCTTAGGGATGGTTTCTACAGCAGTATGCTGAAGAGTCAAGGAGAGGACATGCTATTTTAGATCTGGTATTATGGAATGAAATAGGGCTAATTAACAATCTTGTTTAAAAAAAACCATTAGGGATGAGCGAACACAATATCGTAGAATTTAACATTTTGAGTGTGAGGTAGTTTATTCTGAAATAAGGCTGTTAAATTTGAACAAGAGATATTATGAAGGAATGAGGCAGAATTGGCTGAGTTGGATTGAGGAAATACAATAAAAGGCATGATTGCACATAGGGAATGGACAGTCTTTAATGAAATAATTCTGATTTACAGCATGTATGCATTCCTTTAAGTGCAAAATCTCTCTTTAAAAAAAAGTCAGTTGACTGTAGCTAACAAAGGAAGTCCAGGATTATAGAAAATTAATAGAAAAGGGCGGTAAAATTGCCAGTCATAACTGCAATTCTGATGAATGGGAGGTTTATAGAATACAGCAAAGGAGGACTAAGAAACTGACAAGGAAAAGGAAATTGGAATATGAATACAATCAATCAAAGACATAAAAAACAAACTGTAAAAGCCTCTACGTACGTAAAAAGAAACATTTGGCTAAAATGAATGTGCATCCATTATGGACAAAGTCAGGAGAATTAGAGAAATGGCAGAGAAGCCAAATTATTCCTTTGTGGCTGTTTTCTGTGAGGAAGGTACCAGAACGGGGCGGCACAGTGGCTCAGTGGTTAGCACTGCTGCCTCACAGCGCCAGGAACCCGGATTCGATTCAACCCTCGGGTGACTGTCTGTGTGGAGTTTGCTCATCCTCCCCGTGTCTGCGTGGGTTTCCTCCGGGTGCTCCGGTTTCCTCCCACAGTCCAAAGATGTGCAGGCTAGGTGGATTGGCCATGCTAAATTGTCCATAGTGTTCAGGGATGAGTAGATTAGGTGGGTTACAGGGGGATGGGTCTGGATGGGATGCTCTGAGGTTCAGTGTGAACTTGTTGGGCCGAAGGGCCTGTTTCCACACTGTCAGGATTCTATGATCTAAGAAATCTCCCAGAGCTAAAGATCAAAGTGGCTTGGGAGAATGAGGGGTTGAAGGAAATTAGCACTGTTCAAACAATTGTGTTGGAGAAATTAATGTGGCTGAAATGTGTTAAATTCTCAAGATCTGATGGTCTGCATGCCAGAGTGTTGAAGTGGAGGTGGTTTTTGAGACAGTCACTGCATTGATATTCTATAGCTTCTGGAATGATTCCTGCAGACAGGAAGGTAGTAAATGTCAGCCCACTGTTTAAAAAAGAAATGAGAGAGAAACCAGGGGGCTACAGATCTGTTAGTCCTTTATCAGTGGTAAGAAAAATAATAGAATCTGCTTTAAGTGGTGGGATAAATAGATGCCTAGTTGATAACGATCTGATTGGGCATAGTCAGCAAATGGGAAATCATATTTGATGAACTTACAGTTTTTTTGAAGATGTTACCAACAAAATATAGTACATTTAAGGCAGAGATTGATTGATAGATTTCTGATTAGCTGGTATATAGGTTTATGGGGATGAGGTGAGTAAAAGTTATTAAAGTGTTTAATCACCCATGATGGTATTGAATGGCTGGGCAGGCTTGATAGTCTGAATGGCCTACTTCTGTTCATGCTCTCATTTGATAATGTGCCAGTGAAGTCTTATGTTGATTTGCTCTATTTGTGTATAGGTGAGAGTTGGCGTTGTTGTAATGATTGAATTGATTATAGTTCATTTCCTTTTTAATAGTTGGTTTGTATTAATTGACAAGCAATAGATGATTAATTGAATTATCTATAAATAAATATTGGGCATCATTTTTCTTCTTCGTGCTATTTCAACACGACTTAGTGACATCCATTCTCCACTCATGGCAGTATCTTGCTGTTAAGGTGATGAATTTGCTAAAGGGCACCAATGAAGTTATTATTGAAGTGACCCTGTGGTCATCTTATCCCCTGGCAATTTTTGAACATTACAGAGGGCACAGACATGGACATTTCAAATTCACCAGCTGGAGATGGCCAACTGTAATCTGGTACCTTCAGCCTTAGCGACAGTAGTCTGAACATAGTC